AGAGTAATTTAAGTATAGAGATAATTATAAAAATTAAAATTTTATGTAATTTAAAATTCTGAATTGAAAATTTCCTTAAAATTAAAATTACGAAATTTTGTTCATATTAAAATGTTAAAGTTCTTTGAAATTCACCCCCATATTATATTATATGTATGTGTTTGCCCGCTTACATAGGGATATAACATAATATAATACATATAATACGAGTATAAAGAATTTGTAGGACAATAAATTTTACATTCTTCATCTTTTAAAATACCATAAATCTCCCAAAGGTTATAAATTATATTTTTTATTTTTGCTTTTATTTTTCAATTTTAAACTTTAAATGCATATTTTGCTAGTAGCATAGGGTTAGAATAATTGTGCAACTAAAATGTTTTCTATTTTATGTGACCTGAATCGAATTTAATATAAATTGTGTATTTTTTTTTTTTAAATGTTTCTCTTTCAAAACACCATCATATTATTCAATTTTGAAATTTTTATAAACTGTTAATGTTGGTGAAAACTTTGACGATGATATTGTGAGTAAGTGGGTGAGTTGGAGAAGGAGTTAGTTAGATTGTAGTTTTGCATTAAAGAAAAAAGGTTAAGCAAACAAATGAAAAACGAACACAAAATACAAAAACGAAAAATGTAAAATGTCATTATTGCGTTTGTGTGCTGTCACGACATGAAATGCTTTTCTCATGAAATATTCATTACAATTTCATTTTTACTATAACAAGCACTACGGATAGTTTTGCATCTTCTTGTCTATGTTCTGAATCCCCCTTTTTGTTTTCTTTTTTCTTCTTTCCATGATGTAAAATACACATTCAATTTGCATTTTAGAGGAAAATGAATTCATTAATATTTAAGATTTTCATTTCATTTGAGATTTTTTTTCTAAATAGTAAAATTTAATGAGATTTTTTTTCTTTTTTCTCCTTTTTGTTTCTTTTATTTTTTTCCCTGATAAATACATTACTAAGATTATTTAGGGATTAAACGATGTAAAAGTGTTGTTGCCATTTGTTCTTAATAATTTGAGATTATATAAATAGTTTCGAATTTTTTTTTAATATTTAATTTAAATCAAAGTTAATTGAATGTTTGATTATTAATAATTAATCGTAATTAGTGTATTTCAGTTGATGAAATGCAGTTGAATGATTCTAGATAATTTAATTTCAAGAATTGCAGTTTAGATATTTTGCAAGAATTTAAGTAATTGCAATGAGTTATTAATTATTATTAAGCATACATAGTTTCGAGTGATTATGAAAATATTTAATTTTAGAATATTCCTTGTTGAAGGCTGTGTAATTTTATTTATATTTAGTATTCAGATGAGCTTACACTTTTAATTTGATTAAATACGTCGAGGACAATACGATAAAAGTTTTTTTTTAAAAACTTATAATTTTACACTTTCTGATGTACGTTTCACAAAATTAATATTAAAAGAGGAAATGTCAAATAATAAATAGCAAGAACCAAATAATATTTTGTTTTGGAGAGAGAGGTTTTTGAATTTGTTTTAACTACTGTACATTCAAAAATTCCTCATTTCACAGTTCCTTATCAAACTGTTTCTCATTGAACATGTCAAAAATCATGCATTGCGGCTATTATACATTTTCAATTACCAAAATAAACTCTTAATTATTTTATGATAGGTCACAGTATGCAAGCTAATAAAAAACTATAATTCAATCGTTTAATTTTTTGAAATATTTTTGAATACCAAATTAATTGGAAAAAGATTTAACTTTTTTTTTTAATTTTTTTAAAACAAGAAGTCGACTCTTAATTTATGTAATCAATTCATTTAATTTGGCACTTCAGTTTTGTGTTGATTCTGCTTTTGAAGTCTAATGCACTTATATATACGTAGGTATTATTACATTTATGTCTACATAAGTTTATGCCTATGAGTAAATCGAAAAGCATTTCGTAAAATTAAAATCACCTGTAGGTATTTGTTTTTTGTTCTCAGAACACTGAATTTTTTTTTGGGCTTTTTGATAAAGGATGACAGGAAAATTTAAAACAGTCAAGTAAATATTACCAAAAGTATTCAGTACGTGATGAAAAAAAATTTAATTTAATTTCAAACAAATTGATGATAGGTTTCAGTTCTTTGATAAAATAAGGAAGAAAAAAAATTATAAAATGTAGTTGACATCGAAATTCATAATTTGATACACTTATGTAGACATAAGTGTATCAAACTATGGTTTTCGATTAGAAATAGAAAATCATAGACCAGTAGACGTATTTAGAAATTTGTTTTATACAAGTACACTCAAAATAAATGAAATCGGTGAAAACGTCATTGAATTAGTGAATCCATTGGTAACTTAGTATGGATACATTTTAATTATATTGTAACATTTTTATGAAATTATTAGCATATAATGTATAAATAAGTTATTTGTACTTGTAAAAACGTTTGTGAATTGAATTGAAAAAAGAATTTAATGAGGCTGTGAAAAATTTTCTATTTCAATTCTAATACAATCCAAATAAAAATTTGAAATGAGAAACAGAAAAATATTTTGATGATAGAGAGGTATAAAAGAAGGAAAAAAATATATAAAAGAAATTATTTCTTATAGAATCACCACAAGGGCATGACAATCGCTAACAATATTTAGAAAATAAAAAAAAAAGACATCAATGCCATATACATCTGGTAGTCATATCGAATGATATGTTGCGGAAAAATATGACATATTCCTTGTACATGCGACAAACCTATGTAGTTACGCTGATGATAAATGAAAATTTTTGTTTTCCTTTTTGAAGAAATATATAGAAGACTAATCATCGCATCCTTATGAATAATATTGTGGAATTTTGAGAAAGTGAAACACAAATAAGAAATAATTTCATATTATTGTATGCTTTTCTTACTTTCTTATATTATATAGTAAATGTATGTACATTATTTTCCAATATGGAAAAAAGAAATGTGTGAAGTAGATCCTTAGAATTATTATAAAAAGAAAAAAAACGGATATTATAAGCCACTCGTAACAAAAGCAAAAAAGGATATTGCTTTCTTTCTGTTTTTTTTAACTTTTTTTTGTTTTATAGATTTTCAGACAAAATGAGAAAATCAGGAAAACAAAATTATTGCTCATTTTCTTCTGGTTTTTTTTTTTTTTTGATTTCTTCTCTATCATTAATATCAAGTACTAAAAAAAAAGAAAATTTTTTGCCAAAAGGAAAATGAATTAAAATAATGGAATAAAAATTTTCATCAACAACGCATAGATGAAGTGAAATAGTAAATTTTAGTTTTATACGTTTATGTAACAATATTAAGGAGTGCATAATGTATACACATATTTATGTAAATGCATTTTGAATTTTAAACTTAAAATGCAATAGTTGGTTTGGCTTAACACAACCTACAAACGTTTACAGGACACATTAAAATTTTCGGATCTGTAGAAAATATATAACAGGGAACCGTGAAAACATATTTTTAACTATTTTCTTTAATTTAAAAATTTTAATAACTAGTTACGAGGTACTTAATACTTTTATGTATCAATTTTATAAATATTTTTTACGAAAATTTTCCCGGAAATTTTTTTTAATCAAATTCTGCTTCCTAATTTTGTAGTCAATAATGTTTTCTTTCGCGCAATTCTAGCGGACACAGTGTGAATTTATTGAAAAAGAGAAGGATATTTTATAGCTATAAATTTAATATCCCCAGTTGTCCAAATGTAATTTATTAGGATGTTACAATTTTAGCTAGTTTATTTCAATTTTCTTTTTACATTTTTTATCTTGTCCTTTATTTTAGATCCTAGAGGATATTTTATTTTGATTGTGGAATAAAAAAAAATAAAATGAACGAAAATCTTTTGTACACATTATCAGTTTATGAAGGATATTATATTTGTTTGCTCTTTCGCTTACAAAATTATTGCAAAGTATTTTAGCTTAAATGATTTTATTACTTTGCAAATATATATATATATATTTGTAAATATGTAAAGAGTTGGCCAATATGACCGAAATTGCTAAGATTGCAAATATGTGAAGATACGTTAAAACTGACATCTAAAGGATAATGCGTTATAAAATTTCTTTGTGCTTTGCTTTTCATAGGTTATGCTTTTTCAGGGTTATTTTGCTTGTTGGTTGCTATTTATGGAAGAGGTAAAAAATAATAATTGAGCAAAATTCTATGCCAATATGTATCTAAAGGGCGTCTACTAAAATAAATAAGCGTAATAAAGTGTTCCAAACTACCCTTTTATATACATAAACTCCTGTGTGTAGTTTTGCCAGTATACAGCAAATTTACTGTTATAAATGGCATTTAATTTTATTTCCTTTAATTCTATAGAAAATATATTTTTATTCGACAGTTTATGAAAGATCCTTTACAAAATAAAGACATATACATATGTACATCTGTACGTTTGTGTATACATTAATATCCTTTTTGTAGAAATGGACTTAAAGATTTGATTTGGAATTTTCACTTTTATGACTTTTTCTTTGAATGTTATTGTTTTATTTGGTATTTCAGTTTCGAAAAATGGAAGGAAATATTAGCAATGAAATGAATGAGTTTTCATTACTTTTCCTTTTTTTTTTTGTTTTTCTTTTGGATTATTTTGGATTATTAAATATTAAATATAAAAACTAATTTGTAGAAAATAAATAAATAGAATACGAAAATTATAAGGAAAATATTAAAATAAAAGCAATTTATATAAGAATAAAAAAAATTTAAGTGACATTATGATTTATGGAGGAATAAAATTAAATTGATTTTTAAAAATAGATGAATAATGGGCTCAACTTATCAAAATTGAACTTTTATTGAATTATTGAAATATACAAATATTTTTATTGTAGACTGATTTTACCTATGTATATCTTTGTTAAATTCTTAATAAGTTTTAGAAGTTTATTTGTTTGCAAAATCTCATGTATTGTACTAAACATTAAATTTTTAAGAACAACCAAATATAAATTACCTCATCAAAGCGTTTTTGTAAACTTTTTATTGTTAATCTGGTTGTTGTGGTATTTGATGATTGTTGAGTTGATGTTTGCGGCTGTTGTTGCGATTGCGGTTGTGTTGGTTGGTGTAATGTACCAGTTTCAGTTTGAATTTCTAATATCACATGCTTAAAATACTCGATGGGAGGCACCTAATAAATTTATAAAATCGAAATATTCATATAAAAATAATTTGTTTAACAACAAAATAAATTTTTATTTTACCTGATAAAACAATTGATATTCGGCATCCGTTAGACGTAAAGCAACTTCTTCCGGAAAATGTAAAACACTTTGAAGTTCCTCTAAATCACCCGGATGTGAAGGTAAGGGATTTGTGGTCGTGCCACTGTTTATACTACTGCTGCCAGCACCGATGCCACTGCAGCCACCGCTACCACCAACAACATTACTAGCTGCTGATGAAGAACGAAAATTAGCTGTAGAAAAAATTAATACAAATTTTAATAATTTTATTAGTTTTCGAAAAATTAATGATTTATATTGTATAAAAAAAAATTAATATAACGGAAACGGATGTTAATTCTATTATTATGCTAATTTAAATAATTAATTAGCAAAATTTTAATGCCGTAGATTTCTCCCATTTGTAAACTTCAAACGGAAATTCATTTATGCATGTATTAAGATTTACGTAAAAATTAGTAAATTGTAAATTATGAATAATAGATATGTAGTATTAGAATAGATAATAGATATCTAAATATTAGAATTTATCATAATTATTTATTATATAGATTAGTAATTAATAATTCATAGTTGTAAATTCTAATATGAAGAATGCACATATAAATACTTTAATTTTGAAACTAATTAATAATTAAATTTTAATGATTAGAAAATGTTGCAGAGGACTTATATAACTTGTTTTTGAATAAAAACCTAAAATCGGATAATGTCACCTAATCCAAGATGTATTGGGATATTATTGAAAGTTTTTGCAAGAAAAAATTGCAAAGCCTTTGTTTGTAGTAAAATTTGCAATATTAAAACAATTTTTTCCTTGTCAAATAGTATAAAAAAAGTGTCATTAAATTGAAAGGTTTTAAAAATCATGTTAAAAAAACTTAAAAAAATAGTATAACTTTCTGAAACTTTCGCGAATTGCACGTAATATTCGTAAATTATTATGTTTATTGCCACACTAATTAGATGAGAGACAAAAATTCATTTTAAGAATAAGGTTTTTTTAGCGAATTTCTTTAAAATAAAAATTCAACCCATTTTATTTTGTTGAGCGTAATTCGAAGCAATTTTAATTACTGTGTTTCTTTTTTTTTCAATATTATTTGACTATACCCACACTTTATTCATGTATACAATGAGCATATTTATTTATTAATTTTTTAATTAAATTTACGACAAAACAATAATGTTTGTATGTCATTATTTTTATTGTTATTTTCGATGTTTTAAAAAAAAAGACAAATCAATTTTAAAACAGTTGGTCTTACTTAGATATTTGGGTACAAATATTTAAAAAAATAAACTGAAATAAAATTAAAAAAATGGGCTGATTATAAGCATAAGCAACTATAATATGGAGGTCCTATTAGCAAATGTACTAACAGATTTATATTGGGTTTTTAAAGAAGATCCCTAGATTGTACAGATTGTAGACAGTTTTTCCAAAATATTTAAAAGTTCAATTAAAAATAAAGGTGATAATGAAAATAATAAGAAGTCTAATATTTAATAATAGTTGTTGAATAGTGATTAAACACATTAAACATATGGCAAAATTTTACTAATGTTGTAACTCAGCTCGTATAAATATTTTTTATTTTATGTTCGCTAAATTAACTTAATTTTTCCCTCGATACACATACCATTAATTTATATTGAAATCGATTTTTGATATGTACATAATGTATTGTATTTCGTCCTCGTGTAAATAATAATTAACATGAAAAATCGAATTAACACAAAAGAAATACTTTTTGGTTGTCGTTGAATGGGTAATCTTGAATATTGAAAAAATTTCACTGTCATTTGGCTTTCCTATTCAAGGTTTTTCCATATTGTAAAATATTAATTTAAATTATAGCACTAGAATAACGTGTAACAACATGTGGTCTTTTTAGTTTACTAAGATTATTTTATTTTTGTTATGCAATCATCTCTGTGAGAATCAATTTTTACTTATGTACCTTGGTACATAGTGGTTTGAAATTTGAAAATTTCTTCATTCATTCTTATCAAGCTTATCATTCGTTCTTATTTAATGATGTGCCCAGGTACAAAGTGTATAAAATACTCATTGCTCATTGTACGAATTCTAGTGCTCATTGTACGAATTCTTATTTTGAGACATGGCAAAAATAAACTTTGGCGTATCATTTAAGGTATATACTTTTAACTATAAATGTCGAAAGGAAATAACTTTCTTTTTTTTTAAATTCAAATACGAGAGCCTGGTAAAATGAAGTGCTTGTGAACTCACATTTTACTAATTTTGAAGATTTGTTAGTTCATAAGTGTCATTTGTATGTGTTATATGTGAGGTAGAAAGAACGGAAAGTAATTTCAGAATAAACACGCGATATGATTTTCGGTTCGGGCACCAGATTTTATTTAACTATTGGAGCAGTTGGGCGTTATATTTTGATGATTATCCAGCAAATTATGATTATTCGTTCAATATGTGTCTATATTGAATTTTAATGGACTGTTAATGTAAACGCATTCAATTGAAAATTATTTATTTATTTTTTTTTGTGGTTTTCTTTTATTTTCTTTTAATAAAACTAAATATTGTTCGAAAATTAATGTAAATAAATAAATTTCGTTCAATAATAAAGAGATAATAATTGTATAAGGAGAATTGTAAGAGTAAAGAACATACTGTTATATAGGACCTATCAAAATACATTGATGTTAGTTGTTAATTATTATTGAATGTGTATTGAAGGGTACATATAGGTATGTGTTTATAGGTGTTAGAATTTATATACTCTACAAAATAATTAATACGATGATTATTAAGTAATTATTATTTTGTATTAGAATTTTAGTTGATTTCTTTTCAGGAATATTATTAATAAAATGAATTGTCGCAATAAATTTTATCATGTGATGATAGATTGGGTAATAATTTTAGTTTTAAAGAAATTTGATTTTTAATTTTGTTTTCTAAATTGGAAAATTTAAATATCGCATTGCGTATTTCCCCCATTAGTTTCATTAGTTTAAGAATCAAATTAAATAACATGCGAATTGAAAGAAATATTTGAAAATATTTTTAAAAAAATCATTTATTGAAAATTGTAAAATTTTTATAGTTTTAATGCATGTGCACAATGCGAAACCTAAATTGAACTTTGAAATCCAATTATAACTTACATTCATAATGTTCTTTATTACAGTTTTTATATAGATCGCGGTAATGGAAGAATATATGTACAAAAAGAGTTAAAATTTTGAAATATTAAAATACTAGTATTTCAACTTTTGGATTTTATATAATATTCGACAATAAAATCCACGGGAGTTCTTATTGTTTTAATTGAAATGAAATTATAAAAAATAGGAATGCATTAAGTTAATATGGACAGCCTGTTTGTGTGGATATTTGGGAAAACAATTATCACTATTATTGTTTTTCATTATTAAACATTAATATAAACAAGTATTACAATTATCCTTATTAAACATTAATATAAACAAGTTCAAAAAATAATACTTTGTATTGATACGAGTAATGTATTGTAAAAATGTATTCTTTTTTGAAACAATAATTTTTGCGACTTTAAGAGGAAAATTAAAATCAACCCTCTATCTACACTACTAGTTGATAATGGTTCTTTTTCAATCTGAGAATATTTTAAAAGATTTTATTTTTTTATTTAAATATTTGATAATTAAACTATATAATTCTTATATAAAATTGAAATGGTTCTAGACAGGGAAATATAAATTTAAAGTGATCATAAAATTAAAATATTGTGAACATTTTTAAAATTTAATTTTGTATTTTCAAATTTTTTTGTTTCTCAAATCCTTTTGTGAAATAAAATCAAACCAATGATAAATTGTTTTCGTAATGCTATGCTGTAGGAAATAGGATACGTGAAAATCGTAAAAAAAATATATGCATGTAATAAACCGTTAAAAAATAAAAATGCAAATAATAATGTTATATTCAAGCCTGTTCCTGCCATTTCTCACATAAAAGGGGATTTCCTGAATTTTTTCTTATTAATGCAAGTAGAGTAGTGTACTGCTTTACGCAAAAGTTTGACTTCACAATTGTCATATAATTGTTAATTGCGTTGTACACAATTATAATATAATATAATTCAATTTGCAAATAAGCACATGGCGAGGAATAGAAAATATTCTTTCATTTATAAATTTGAACTGTATTTTCAACGTTATAGTTGGATCGACATGTTCATTATGTCTTATGATTGTTTCCGGAGAAATGTAGATCTGAAAAAGATTTTAAGTATAAAAAGAAAAGTAAGGTACATTTTATTATTTTTAAGCATGAATTTTTTTTATTGTTTTTGCATTTATTTATGAATAAACATGGTGTGTAATATACAAAAATTTCCACCGGACACGGGAGTATAAGAAATTTTTGCCTATTTATGATTTATGTACAACGATAAATAAAGGAATTGGAAGTATTTGTGGGGACTCATTTATCGTGTTGTAGTATAAATGGGAACAAAAATTTTTGTAGTAAATAATTAAAATTTGTTTTTTGTATTTGCCGTTGAAAAGTTTATTTTTATGTTTTGATAAATAAATAAAAACAAATTTATGATCAAAATTCACATGTATTTTAAGAATTATTGTTAACTGATGTAGGCTGGGTCCTATTGTTAGGTCATCCATTAAAATTTAATTGAGATTATTGATTTCGTGCGATATTGATTCATTTACACAAGGCGAGTATACGTTATACAATATTAATGTATATATTAATAGAAATATGGAAAAATATGTGTATTTTGTAAGGATCTGTAATTTTATTTTATTCTTATATGAGTATAGGTTTAAAATCTTTGTTGTGTGTGAACTTTGAATGTATCCTTATCCCAAATGCATTATCAATTCCAATTTATGTCATAATTTCAACTTATACGGGCACATCTCATAGGAATTAAAATAGTAAAAATTTTAAATTTATTTTTTTCATGTACCTTATTGATAGATTTATTGGGTATAAGTTAGTTACAATAGATATATAAATATAAAATAAAAAAGTTGGTACTCATCGAACGAGAAAATTTAAAATTGAAATATTAAAATATATTGGCATGAGTAATATTAAAAAAGATTCTCTTGAGTTATTGTTGAAATAATGAATCTTTTTTTTTAGTATTGGTTTATCGGCAAATCACTAGCTTTATCTGAACTAGTTTGCAATCGTCTACCAGATAGCAAAAAAAAAATAATGGACCTGAAAAAA